GAGAGATTAAATTGTATGTCAAAATAATTGAGATAGAGCATATATATATATATATCAATATATATATAAATATATATATATATATATAAATATATATATATATCAATAAATATATATATATATATATATATATCAATAAATATATATATTTTTTACGTTTATCCAAAGAGAGTAAAGGGCGGATTAAATGGCAAAATGAGCTTATTAAAGATATATGTTCATACAATTACTGTAATGCCGGATGCAACTAAAGCGCGCTGCCAAGTTCCAACAGTTACTATACGTCGAGTTAGTAAAATTTACGTGATCTCTGATCCTCGGACATCTCGTGAATCTTCGGATTCTCAGCTCTCAAGATTCCCTTTGGGATCGCCGAGTGCTTAAATCCTGCCAATTTTCGAACTTGGAATATCTTGAAGGCCTAATTCCTCGTGTTGCAAACATCCGAATTCCCGAGGGGTTCCTACGTCCTTGTATTTATATAATTACATATTTCCTCGCGTTCCTTTCTAGATACTAGAGTTAATTCATCGATCCTCCCCCCCTCCTCCTAAGCTCTCATGAACAGTTCGAACATATGCTTTGCACTTTAGCGGCAGCCGGTGTACGTATATCGCAACATCGAATTTTCTCGGGGGGTTCCCCCGCTTGTTCAAGACGAGGGGTGCTAATACTCGCCAAGATTATATTAGCTAATAGAAGGAAAAGAGAGGGAGAAAGAAAGAAAAAGAGAGAGAGAGAGAGGGAGAGAGTGAGTGAAAGTGAGAGATAAAGAGGGAGAGAAAGGGAGAAAGAAGGAGAGAAAGAGCGATTTTATAATGAAAAATATAACGAAACATTTATTGTCGCAGCAACAACGTGTCTTTGTAGCCAGATATGTATACACACACACATACATCTCTATATATATATATATACATATACATAACATATATATATATATTTTATATTGAAAGTTGTGATGTGCTCGTAGCCGCACGCGATGACTAATGAACCGCCTAGAACTTGGAAAAAGATAATTTGTGTACCACTTGCGATATGTACCCCGTGAAATTGTCGTAAACGTGTACTCTTCTCGCCGTACGCACATCGATAATAACAGTTATCTCAGCCTAACTCTGACAGAAATTCGTAACGATGTATTTACTCCTGTGAGTTGAATAAATGTTTCACAGCGAGTCAAGCGTGCGTTGATTGCATACCACGCGTGTGCCGTTTCGTCGTGTGTGAATGCTTACAGTCTTCCCTCCCCCCCCCCCCCC